CAGTATGCTCACACAATGGTGTGAGTATATATATACTGAGCTACAACCCCATCCCTTTTTGCACTTTTAATTTTGATACAGGGTCTTGTTAAATTGCCCAGGCTGGGGGCTGGTGAGATGGCTCAGTGGTCTAAAACACCTACTTAGAACAAGCTTAGCAAAGCTCAGGGACCGCGGTTCAATCCCCCAGCACCACATGCCAGTCAGCCCCGCCCCCTGGTGGGCTGAGCTGGCCACACACACACACACACACACACACACATAAATTTAAAAAAAAATTTAAATTGCCCAGGCTGACCTTGAACTTGGATGCTCCTGCCTCAGCCACTCTCAACTAGAACTATAGGTGTGCCCACCAAGCCTAGCTTGTACTCATTCTTTTCTATGCCTGTGTGCCATTGCGTGAGCATACTGTAGTGTTCTTAATCATTTCCTGCTGAGCACTTAGGTTCTTCCTAATCATGTGCCATCATGAGCAGGGTCATAGTGAACACCTGCTTGTCCTTCATGTCACACTGAATGGTAAGTACTGCTGCTGTAAAGCCTCAGGAATGGAATAACTGGCTAAGGTGCGTAGGCATTTTAAGTTTTGAAGATTTCAAATTCCCTTGCCTTTCCATGTTCTTTATTCTCTTAGACACATGGGGCTGCTTTGCCTCTCTAACAGAATGTAATATTAGGGATTTTGCTCAGTTTGATAGCAAAAAGCAGTAACACAGTATGTTTTAGTCATACTTTCCTTGCTATTAGTCATATTGAGCATCTCTCCCTCTTCCTTTTTTATAACTCATTTGTTTTTATCCCTTACTTATTATAAATTGGGTTGTTTTTCAATTATTGGAGCTCTTCACATATTAGAGAATTAGCTATTTGTCTACAATATGAATTGAGTGAAATTTCTGTTCTTTACTTATATATTTATTTATTCATTTTTGTGGTACGGAGGATTCAACCCAGGACCTTTGCACTAAGGCCCAATTCCTATTATATTTTATTTTGAGACAGGGTCTTACAAAGTTGCACATGCTGGGCTGAACCTTGGATCCTGCTGCCTCAGTCTCCCAGACTGCTGGAATTATAAGCACGTACGACACAGGTTTTGTTTATCTTTTAAATTTGTTTTTGGTATTTTTGGTATGCAGAAGTTTTTGATTGCTATTTTTAGTCAAATGTATCTGAATTTCAATTTTTTTTTCAAAATTTTATTGATAAACAGCAATGAGACAGTTTCAAATCAAATCAGAAGTATAGTTTCAACAAATTGAATTTCAGTTTGTAACCTGGCTTTTTTTTTTTTTTTTTTTTTTTTCAGTACCAGAGATTGAACTCAGGACCTTGTGCTTGTCAGGCACGTGCTTTTACTGCTGAGCTATAGCTCCAGCTCCTGTAACCTGGCATTTTCCATGCCCTGAAAATAAAGGGTTCCCTACATTTTTCCTCTTAATATCTTTACTTTCTTACTTAAATATTTAATACATGTAGAAATTATCCTGGTGAAGAGTGTGAGGGATGGATCTAACTTGCTTTGGCCATAGCACTAGCCAATTGTCCTATTGATTTTCTTTGAATATTCAATCTTATATCTTGCATATATTTTGAATAAATTTTGGGCATTCTAGCCTGTTTAGTCTTCCATCTATTCATGTATCATTGTACACTATTGTAATCATTATAGTCGTATAATAAGATTAAATGTTTAACAGGGCTTGTCTTTTTACATTTTTTCTTGTTTAGTTCTTTTTCTTATAAAATTTAACACAAGATTTGTTTAATTAAAAACAAATGTGATACAGAGAAATGAAACTCCCAAATGAAAGGTACCCAGGATGAGTTGGTACTCTCTAAAACCAAAGAATGAATTTTAGGAACAAATAGAGATTAAGAGCAGAATATTTTTCAGGGTAAAGAAAGCTTCTGTCCGAGAGAGGACAGAAGGGGGACCCAAAGGGGTTAACCTCAGAAGCTGTCTTTTCCAAGGATTTTAGGTGGAGAACATGGGAACTCGCTTAGGTGAGCATGAGGTGGGACAAAACTATAGTCAACTAATAAGATTACAGGCACGGTTGCTCAGGTAAAATTGATTAAATCCAGGACCAAATGGGGAAGTGAGTCATGTAGCAAGGGGGCATGAATATAGAACAGGAGTTTATCCAGTAGCTGGTAGTGGTTGGATTAATGGCTTTTCCTGACTTCCTCAAGGTGATGATCAATCCTGGATGCTTACCTTTAGGGAGGTGAGCATTTGTTCAATCTTTGGTCTTAGGTCTGGCCCACAACAGGTATGTCCGTCTTACAGTTGCAAGGTATCTCGTCTTCCATGCTGTCTCCTTGAGGGCCTGTCTGACTGCCTGTAATATTTCTATCTAACTCAGCTGCCTACAACAAATGTTGAAGCCAGGTGTGGTGGTGCGCGCCTGTAATCCCAGTGCTTGGGAGCTGAGGCAGGAGGATCACTGCAAGTGGGAGGCCAGCCTAAACTACATAGTGAAAGCTTGTTTCAAAAGCAACATGGAAACATTGCTATAAGGTTAAATATAAATCTGAGGGAAAATGATATCTTTACATTATTTAGTAATCTTATCTAAGAACATGGTAGATTTGTTGTGTGTTTAATAATATAAATAGGATTTTTCTTGCATTGTTTTTTATGGTTTTTTTTTTTTTTTTTTTTTTTTGCAGTGCTGGGGATTGAACTCAGGATCTTGCACTTACCTGGCAAGTGCTTATTCTACTGAGCTATCTCCCCCACCCTGCATTGTTTTTTAGTTGCCTTTTGTTTGCATATGTGAAAATAGTTGACGTTTGTTAATCTTTTCCCATGTTGTTCCATGAATTCTTTTATTGTTTGCAACAGTTTCCCAATTGATTCTCTTGATATTTCCAGTCACATAAGCCTTTTTTCCAAACATTCAACTCCCTGCCCTTGTAATCACTGCAAATGAAATGTGTTAACAAATTCATGGCAATAAAGCATACAAAAGAGTCAAGAAAAGAGAGGTTTTTTTTTTTTTTTTTTTTAATTTATTTATTTTATTTGTGTGTGTGTGTGTGTGTGTGTGTGTGTGGCCAGCTCAGCCCACTGGGAGCGGGGCTGGCTGGCATGTGGTGCTGGGGGATTGAACCGCGGTCCCTGTGCATTTGCTAAGCTTGTTCCAAGTAGGTGCTTTAGACCACTGAGCAATCTCACCAGCCCGAAAAGAGAGGTCTTAATCATCTTTCTCCTTTCTAACACACAGTACCAACACCCACCATTTAAAGAACAAGAGGCTTATTTTGGCTTACAGTTTGCAGAGGTTTCAGGCCTAGGCAGCTGGCTCCAGGCCTCCCAGAAGGCCCTGCTCTGTGTGGAGCTGCTCACATCCGGGAAGCGGAGGGAGCCATGAGAGGCGCCACTGGCTTCCCCTCTTCACAGCAAGTCAGGTGTACGAGCCCCATAATCAAATCACCTGCCAAAGGTCTTGCTTTTGATTTCATGAGGCTTTAGGGGATCATCCCTCTACAAGCCATAACAAGAACCTTAGGTGTCCACAACCCTAGCCGCGTTTATCTGCGGGACCCTGCAGCCAGCCTACCTTCCTCCACTCCATCAACCGCTGTTCCTCAGCTAGCTAGCTCAGGGCTGCCCCTTCAAAACCCAGTCATATCTCGGCCACACTGCAGGCAGCCAATTTAACTAAAAAGTCTTGCCGTGGGGGCGGGTGGGGAGAGGAAGGGTGGGAATGGCTGGGCGTTTTGCTTCAGGAAGGACTGTGACTTCTTACTCCAGAACTTGCCCTTCCTCTTTCCAGAATGTCAGGAAGAACTTTATTATGATAGCTGCAGCTAAGACACATTGCTAAATACAATATTCCTATTGCAAGACAAGGTACCTATCTTTATTTTGAAAATTATTAATATATGCTAGCACACGCATAAAGAGAGATCTAGAGGGATATTCACTAAGAATATGTTAATAGCTGTTGTCTCTAGAGGTTGTAGCTATGAACAGTGTTTATTTCCCATGTGATCTGTATCTAAAAGGATGCTCTTTCTTTCTTTCTTTCTTTCATGTATATAGTACAGGGTCTACAGGGTCGCATTGCATAGATCGGATTCATAGTGATCATCCTGTTTTCAGCCTCCCAAGCACTGGGATTACAGGTGCGCACCACCACGCCCAGTGTCAACTGCAGTCTCAGCATGGCCCGGGGGCAGGGCTGGCACAGCAGGCCGGCATCAAACTTGGTTCCCTGATGCTTGCCTAAAGGGTCGCTTAATCGGCTGAGCTATCTCGTTGACCCTTTGCTGTTTCTTGATAGCAATCAGACACTGCCCTTATCATTAAGGGGGGGGGCGGGGAGATGGCTCAGTGGAATAAGTGCTTCCCTGGCAAGCGCAAGGGCCTGAGTTCAATCCCCAGTTCCGCAAAAAAAAAAAAAAAAAAAAAAAAAAAAAAAAAAAAAAAAAAGAGGGAGGGAAGGAGGGAGGAAGGCACTCTAATGCATACTAAAATGTTTATGAATGAAATTACATGATGTGTGAGATTTGCTTTAAAATAATACGGGAAGAAAGGAAATGTGTGTGGGTAGAGATGAAGCCAGACTGGCCATGAGCTGTTAATCACTAAAGTTGGGTGATGGGCTCATGGATCTTTCTTATACAATTCTCTTTGTTTTTGTATACTTGACATTTTGTACAATAATTATTTTCTCAGGTACTGGGGATTGAATGCAATAGCGCTCTACTATGGTGCTACACTCCTAGCCCTTTAAAGACTTTTTTAAACTTTGAGCCAGGGTCTTGCTAAATTGCCCAAGAGAGACTTGAATTTAAGATCCTCCTGCCTCAGCCTCCTGGAGGCAGTGTATATTGGTACAACAGTGCATACAGGTAATACTGGGATTATAGGTATACACTGCCATGCTCAGCATAAAAAGACTTTTTAAAGAGGTAATTTTATAGAAACAGATATGAAGAACCACTCGTACTATAGTTTTTCTTTTTCTTCTTCTTTTTTTTAATCTTATAGGAAAGGTGAGTGGCAGCCACAGGTATTGGGTTGACCTGAGCTGTCAAAATCTCTCCAGGTTGCTCTCGCATGCAGTTGGAGAGCCCGTGGCCTGCAGTTGGAGAGCCCGTGGCCTGCAGTTGGAGAGCCCGTGGCCTGTACTATAGTTTTTTAACGTTATAAAATTGTATTTTATCTGTGTGCAGTGATAAATACTTGTGTATTTTGACAAAAAGGTGCAGGAAAAAGATCTATAAGGATCAAGTAACCCTAACAAACAATTTTCTGAATACTTTAGGGTTAGTGTCAGGCAGCATCATAAGTATAAAAATCTTTAGTTTCTTTTTTAAATGATATATTTAAAGCCACCAGCTGCAGGTTGTTTGGAAACTTAACTCTTTGCTAGCCCTGAAAATTCTGTGATGTACAGTTGGCCCTCTGTATCTGTGTATTCTACATGCATAGATCCAGCCAACTGTGGATCAAAAATAGTCGAGAAAAAAATGTGACTGTGCTGAACATGTAGACTTTCCCCCCTTGTCATTATCCCTAAACAGTACTATTACTTATATAGTACTTCCTTTGTATTAGATAATGTAAATAAGCTAGAGATGATTTCAAGTATATGGGACATTGTACAAGGGCCTGTAAGACTTTCTTTCTTTTGCTGTACCAGGGATCGAACTCAAGACCTTGCGCTTGCCAGGCAAGCACGTCTTCCACTGAGCTATCTCCTTGGCCTTATATCTTTCATAAAAGGCTCTTGAGTATCGGTATATTTTGGTATCCTCCATGGGTACTGAGGGGCAACTGTACTTTCCATCAAAGAGTGGTATCTATGCCTCTTTCTTTTAAATCTGAGTGGGCCTCTGACTGATTTGACCAATATAACACAGCAGAAATGATACAGTATGATTTCAGAGACTGTATCACAAAAAGATTGTGTGGTTTCTGCCTTGCTCCCTGTAATACTTGCTCCCTGCAGATGCCACGCTAGGAGAAAGCACAAGCTGCAAGGAGAAGCCTTAGGTAGGTGCTGTGGTCAGTAGTCCCCCTGAATTCACCAGCTCATGCACCAGGCATGGAAGGAGAGAATCTTCACGTGGTTCCAGCCCTCAGCCATTTGAGTCTCCCTTGATAAGGCCCTGAATATCATAGAACAGAAATAAGTCACCCTCAGTGTGCCCTGTCTGCATTCCCCGTCCTTGGCAACTGTGAGCAAAAAAATTGTTTTGGATTTATGTAATGAGTGGGATGATTTGTTACACAGCAATAGATAACTGGAACATCCAGTCTTTTCATTATGAGAGATTATTACATTCAGTTCTTTTTTTTGTACTAGAATCAATCTCAGGATCTTGCACTTGCCAGGCAGGTGCTTCTGCTACTGAGATACAGCCCAGCCCAAAGTTCAGTTCTTATGGCTTGTATCATTTTCAAAGCATTCCTTCCTCCCTTATTTTCAGTTAATCACAGCCTAATTTATATACACTTGTAGTTTTATTTGTATTTTTAAGTTAGCTTTTTCCATTTAAATGTGCCCTTAGACCAGGGTTCTATCCCTGCACCACATGCAATGCCAGGCCCACCCCCAGGTGCACTGAGCTGGCCGTGGAGACCGGGCATGGTAGTGTACCAGTGCTGGGGAGGCTGAAAACAGGAGGATCACTAGGAGTCTGAGTTGCATAGTGGGACCCTGTACCAAATACATACATACATACATACATACATACATACATACATACATATGCCCTTAAAGAGGAAACTCTTTGACTGGGCATAGTGGTATGTGCCTGTAGTCCCAGCTACTCAGGAAGCTGAGGCAGAAGGATCTCTTCTACGAGAACTTCAAAGTTATCCTTGAAGGATACATAAGACACTGTCTCAAAACAAATAAATAATTTTTTTTTTTTTTTTTGGTGTAACCAGGGATTGAACTCAGGCCCTGTGCTTGCCAGGGAAGTGCTTATTCTACTGAGCCATCTCCCCAGCCCCACAAATAAATAATTTTTTAAAATTTAAAAATATTTTTTCTAAGTCATATTTGAAACAATTGCTATTAAATTTAAAAATATTTTTCCCATTCTTTTAATCAACTACGATCATTTGGCGACCCACTAGAGATAGGAATTACTGTTCAAAGCCTCTGTTGATTACCAAGTTCTTTTCTAATTTTTAACATTCCTTTCCCCAGATTTTCTCCTGTGTTTCCCCAGAGGATCTCACTGTGTCCTGAAGTCTCAGTAATCCTCCCTCCTCAGCCTCTCAGGTTCTGGAGTCACAGGCATGCACCACCTTGCCCAGCAAAACCTCTGTTTTTCTGAAGGTGTCCAGAAACTTCATTGCTGGGCAGCGCACAGGATGGTTAGCACTCAGGGCAGTGACCCATGTCAGGAACTGTGAAGGGTCTGAAATTTTGCACTGCTTGCAGGTTCATCATCTAGACTGTTTCATGGATGCAGGCCAAAGAGAGAGCATCCTGTCTCCCCTGGGTGAGAGACAAGGAACTGTATTCCTCAGAGAGAAAGCATAGGCAGAGTTCAGATGCCTGCTGGTGCCCCATGCTGCCCAAGCTCCCAGGAGGTGATACAGCTGGGTCTGCATGCACGATGCAGTCGGTCAGAGAGGAATCCAGTGCTGGGGAAATGACTGCTTTGTGATAAGCAGCACCAAGCCTGCTGTTTGCAGGAAAGATGTGACTTCATTCCTAAAAGTTGCTTGCTGTGAACACAACTCTTGTGACTGGCCTGGGTCAAGGGCAGTCAGGGCCTTGTATTCTTGGACACCCAAAAGGACCCACAGATATGTTCAGGGCCAGGATATCACAAGCCCCAGGTCCCAGGTCAGATAGGCTGTGAGATCCCAGAGCTGAATCTCTACCACTCTCCCCCCTTGCTCTTGAAAGCGGTCTTGATAACATTTAAGTAATAATGCAGGACCCCGGAAGATAGCTCAGTGGCATAAGTGCCTGGCAAGAGCAAGGTCCTGAGCTTGATCCCTGGGACCAAAAAAAATGCAATAAAAGGTAAACAGTTGGCTCACTTCAGTTGTTTAAGTTTTATTAGTAAAACACTCCAAATGTTGTTGGGGATTTTCCAGTTTGTACCTTTGAGGGAAATCACACTAATGGCTTGTGTCAATGAGCTATTGCTATAGTAATGCTACATAATAAGCCAAGTCAGTCTCTCTGTGGCATGTGACAGTAAGCATTTAGTTTTGTGTCATGAATTGCCCAGGCAGTGTGGCGGCTCTGTTTCAATCCATATGTTGGCTGGGAAGCTCTACTCTGCCTATCCCATTTCCCCCAGAACCAGAAGCTTAACCAAATATAGTCTTTAGCACTTGGAGATGTGAAATTCAAGAAACCATGCCCAGCTGCCAAGTGTATCTGGGCCCCTCTGCTTTGTGTATGACGTTATTCCATTGGCCAGAGGGCGTCTCATGGCCAAGCTCGAGTGGTGAGGAGATATGCTCCACCCATTGAGGTGGTGGACAAGGGAGGAACTGTTCCTGTCTAATCTAACACCTATCAAAAGCCCACCATGTCACTTGTTTCCACTTTCTATTTACATAAGCCCTCAAGTTTGTTTGTGAAGTCCTCCCTGTATCCTCCCTTCCAGCTCACAGTACCAAAGTACAGCAGGCTCTCAAATAATGACTATTCACACAATGGGTTCCTCCCCCACCTCTGAGAACATGCTTTGGAAAAATTTATACAGTACTTAGTCTCCTAAATTGATCAACACTTTTTCCAGTAATAAAGAAGAAACAAAACACTGCCTTGGAGTTTATGCCCCCAAGCTCCTTCCTCTGCCCATCAGGCTGGGGCTGGCTCTTGGAGGACTTGACAATAATCCATCACTTTATGTTCAGGCACTTTCACACACAGGAGACCTTCTATTTGAGAAGAGACGCGTATTGTGCAATTCCTCATAAAGAATGGCTTTGTTCTAGTTTTTATGGTCATATAAGGTTATAAAAGGTAATAAATTAATTTAGAAATGATTCAGAACAGAGAGACAGAATGGAAGTCAGAACAATAGCTAAAACATCTATTTTCTTTGCTGTCTTATATAGTAGAAGAGAACAAACTCAGGGAATGGGTTTTACAAAGAGGTTACTGAGCACAGCACCTGACACAAAATGTTGTATTGTGGTAACATTTTCCCTCCCATCCCGTGTGTGTGTGTGTGTGTGTGTGTGTGTGTGTGTGTGTGTGTGCAAAGAGGAATTAAGTAGTGGCTATGTGTATTCCTAGGAATCCCTGGAAGGTATTTTTAATAGATGCAAAGACTGCCCTATCAGCAGCCCACTCCCTGTGGTGGCCTTCCTCTCTCTTGCCCTTATCCAGCCCCTGCCTGTGAACACCTCTTGCCTGGGTGGCCACCTGAGGTCTCCTCCTCCTTCGCTCAGGATATTTGTATTGATGCAGGTTCTTCATCGGATGTGCTAACCACCCACACACAACTAGTATGAGCAAGACAAGGGGATTTACTGGTTCATACAACCACACCACTGACTGTGTGTGGTAGAACTGGTCTCAGAGCTGCTTGGATTCAGATCCAATTTCCATCAGGCTCTTCATCATTTTCTGCTGCTCTTTGCTTATTGAAGTCATTCTTGCCTATTCAGATGGACTTTCTCCTGGGGGAGAGGCAATTCCAGACTCATAGCCTATGGCTTCAGTATCTTCTGAAATATAGAGAACATTTCTTCCTTTCCTTTGGGGTAAAAAACTCCAGGTAATGTCTCTAATTGATCTGGGCTGAGTCACATGTTCATAGCCTGGATTAATCACTGAAGAATAAAGTTGGCTGCTGGGGAAATCACTGGAAACTATGAATTAATTCAGTTTAATTTGTATGAGCTAACTGTAGAGCTCCTCAGAGATACGAGGTGGGAGGCCAGCCTTTCCCCGTTCTGTACCTTGGGAGGTCCTTGTATAGCTTGGGGTTGGTGGGGGGGTATGGAAGTCCCCACACACTGGCATCTGGTGATCTTGCTATAACACAACTTCACTCTGGGAGGCAGCTCCCTCTCACTGTCCTTGGTGGCCATCTGGGTTTGGTCCCTGTGGGTCAGTGAGTGGGCTGAGTTAAATGCTGCCAAGATATCTGGTCTCAGGTGCAACACAGGCAGG